GGTAAGTGCAGGTGACAGAGCTAGGAAAGAGACAGACCCCATCCCTGTTCTCAGGGTGCTGCGAGTCCTGCGTAGGAGGAAGACAAGAAACAGGTGCACAGACAGGTAACATGACATCAGAGGATGTGAGTGTCACAAAGAGAACCCAAGGAGTGTGAGCCCAGAGGCAGGAAAGGGCTGCTGTGGCTTTAGAGAAGCATCTCTGAAGTGTCACAGTGGAGATCAGGAAGATAGGGAGGCAGAAGCTAAAAGGGAAGTGTTCTAGGTATACAGAAAAGCAGAGACCAAGGTCCTGGGGCAGAAAGTGGCCAGAAGCCAGTGAGAAGCCAGTGTGGCTGAGTTGCAGCCATGGGGGTTGGAAAGATAGTGGGGCCAGACCTGAAAGCCAAGGTGTAAATGTGGCTTTGACTCTGAGTGAGATGGGGAGCCATGAGCATTGCACAGGGAAATGACATCACCTGAATTACATTCTTAAATAATGACAAATTAAAAATTAACATGAGCAGTGGCAGTTATTCAGCACTTACTATACACCAGGTATTACACTCCGTGTTCTGACCTCATTATCTTCTTTCATCCTTACAACCTCCTCATTGCCAAAGCAGACCTGATTAAACTCCCCTGTGCTGAGGAGGAGACAGAGGTTCAGAGTGGGGGAATAAGCCCTTTTAGGATGAGCCAAGGTCACTGAGCTGTTGAGTCTGAAGCCAGGACCTGAGCAAGGTTTGTCCACTTCCAGAGAGGGAGGCATTCCCTGGCCGGGGTCTCAGTCCTGACTGCCATCTGTTAGATGGTGACTTGTCACCACATCGGCAGGGTCTTCTCAACCCTGCAGAGAAGACTTGTAGTCAGTTCCAGCTCGGTGGCTCTGGAAATGACCTCAGAGCCACTGTCCCCAGCTCCACCTTCTGCAAGATGGACATATTTATCCTCCTCCTGGAGTCGCAGAGAGGACACTGACCACAGGACTGACCTGGTGGCAGGTGGAGAGCAAGGACTTGACAGCATTGCGTTAGTTATTCATCCCTAAGCTTTGGGGACTGTGTCCTGGGGACCTATCTGCCAGTCAGTCCATCCTGAGAACAGAAGGCAACCCTTCTGCCTCCACAATAGGGCCCAGCAGCAAACCAGGCTGCGAGGGAAGTGAGAGAGGATGCAGATGGCGGGAGGAGGAACCCAAGTACAGAGCTGGCCTGTCCCCTCCCCAGGATCATGCTCTTGTTCTTCAGCCAGGAAGTATGTTGGAGCAAGAAGGCTCTGTCTGTCTCCCTCTGCCACCATTTTTTTTTTTTTGGTGGCGGATCGGGGTGGGGGGGTACCAGGGATTGAACTCAGGGGCACTCAACCACTGAGCCACACCCCAGCCCTATTTTGTATTTTATTTAGAGACAGGGTCTCACTGAGTTGCTTAGTGCCTCACTGTTTGCTGAGGCTGGCTTTGAACTCCCGATCCTCCTGACTCAGCCTCCCGAGCTGCTGGGATTGTAGGCGTGCTCCACAGCTTTAATCTGTCAGCATCTTGCTGCTGCTGAGACCTCCTCTTTGGGACCAAGTCAGAATCTTTCCCCTCCCCAGGTCTCACAAAACCTGAAGCTCCCTGATTAAAGAATTGTTCCATCAGGTTAAGCAGCCATCTTCTCTCGGTCCAGTGCTCCTTGTAGCTCCACAGGACCCACGACAATCCATAAACATCAATTAACAATGACTGTCATTGTTCAGATTATCTTCTGATCTTTTTCAATGCATGCTCATCTGTATAGACACATACGCATCCTCTTCTGGACTTGGTTGTAGTTTAACCCTGTACCAAACTCGCAGGAAGGGAAGATGGAGCTGATCGGATCTGGTCCTGTTTTTGAAGAGCAGTGTGGTGAGGGGGTTAGAAGGTGGGATTTGGAGGTAGGCAGGCACGGATTCAAAGTCCAGGTAAGCAAGCCACGTGATCTTAGATCAACCACCTGGCTTCTCGGGCTTCGATTTCCTCATCCGTGAAATGGGGATAACAGGCCAGGGTAAGGAGAGAAGCGGGTAACGGGCAACACCTCAGCCAAGTGCCCTCCCTAGGCAACTGCTTCATTAACAGTAGCTCTCGAGATGTCACTTTAGTCCTTCTTGCTGAGATCCACAGCAGGGACAGACAGTTCTTTCTGAGGGAAGGCTCTTGTCCAAGTTGTCACCACTTTGGACCAAAGTTACTCCAAAACTTAATGTTCTAAGTAAATGGACACTCCTAACCTCCACATTTCTGAGGGTCAGGGGTCTGGGCACAGCTTCCTGGTCCCTCACAAGGATGCAATCAGGAAGTTGGCCTGGGCCGAGCCCCTCTGAAGGCTCCACCACGGGAGGAGTCACTTTGAAGCTCGGGTGATTGTTGGGAGGATTCAACTCCCCAAGGGCTGTTGGGCCAGGAGCCTTGGGGGACACAGGCTGGATCCTCAAGCCTTTGCCACATCAGCCTCTCCAAGCACGGCAGCTCTTTTCACCTTAACATGCAAATGAGAAGGCAATGTAGAGAGCTGGCTAGCAGGACAGACGCCAATGTGATCAACCTCATCACAGAAGGGGCTGCCCATCGACTCTGCTGAATCCTGTTGGTTAGAAGTAAGTCCTCGCTCAATGGAAGGACATGAATGCCAGGGGGCAGGAGTCTGGGGTCGTCTTAGAGTCCGCCTGGTAGAGCATGGTGCAATTTGACTAGCGTTTTCTAGTGCCTTCTGTGAGCCAGGTAGAGGACTGGGGCTGGGAATTCCAGTGGAAGAGCTGGGGTTCCTGCCTTGCAGAAACTTTTTCTGGGAGGTGTTTTTCTGCTTTGTGCTCTTACCTTCCACTTTTGTGAACATTCTGCCACACAGGAAGATTGCTCTAAAGGGAAGCTACTAGTTGTATAGTGTAGATGAGATAAGCAGATCCTTTTCCTCCATCAGGGGGAGGTCAGAGAAAAGAGAACCAACTCCAAGTTTCTTTCTTTAAGATCCAAACCATCACGCCAACATACACAGAGATAAGACGAAGAAAGAGAGGACCAATAGCACCAAATAATTGCTTCCCATCTTCCCTCAGGTAAGCTTCATTCTGGCCCCTGCTGGGCATGTAGACCAATAAATCTCTTTTTTACTTTCTTGAAGTAATTCAAATTGGGTTTCTACCACTTGCCAACAATAGGGTTCTAAAATATAAACCTGGAAATCAAGATAAAGCTACAAATCTTTCTGGGAGAGGTGATCCAGGAATACAAATTCTTAGTGTGTTAGCTTTTCATTGCTGTTAAAAAAATAACTGACATAAGCAACTTAAAAAAGAAAAGATCATTCTGACTCATGATTTTAAAAGTTTCAGTCCATAGGAGGCTGCTCCATTGCTTTGGGACTGAAGTGAGGCAAAACATCATGGCAGAAGGGCATGATGGCTCGAGGTAGCCAAGAAACAGAACAAGAGCATACAAGGAAAGGGCTAAGGACAAGATATGGTCCCCAAGTGCATGTCCCCAGTGACCTACTTCTTCCAACCAGGCTCCACCTGCCTACAGTTTCCACCACCTCCCATAGTTCATTCAAATTATTAAACCATCAAAGGGATTAATCCACTAATGAGGTTAGCACCCTCATGATCAAATTGTTTCCTAACAGCCACACTTTGGGATATTCATGCATTGGGGACCAAGCCTCCAACACAGGAGCTTTGGGGCACATTCCAGATCCAAACGATAACACTTACTAAGGTATAAATGACTGACACTAGATCCTTTCTTGAGACAAGGCAGTGATTATGAGCTAATATGCAGGGTAACCCTAAGGCTAAAAGTGCAAGCCAGTCAAGACAGCTTACCAAGTTCACAAATGAAAAGGACTTGTAAAAACCTGGATTTGAATCCTAATCTGCCACTAACTGGCAACTTACTTCTCTGGGCACCCATTTCCTCATTAGTAAAATGAGAAAAGACTATTACTTACCTTATCCATCTTACAAGGTTGTCATATAGACAAATATTGACATTATTTTATTTCCCTATAGCCAACACCCCTGCATGTACCATGAGTAAATGTCAATCAAGTAACCTGAGTATCCCAGCCCTCCAGGAGGACTCAGCATCTAAAGACAAGAGTGAATGAAAAAAATAAAAAAGAGAGAGAAAGGAAAAAAGAAAGAGTGAAAAGAACTTAAAACCGGATTGAGAAGTGAACATCTGTATACAATTTATAGTCTGCACCCTGGCTTGGTGTGAGTCCAGCAGGTACATTTTCATTATTATTTTTCCTTCAGCTTAATTTAATTCCAGCTAATTTAACTTCTAAATTCTATCTTTTCATCTTGTCTTTGCTTTTCATGTTATCTTTTCTTTTCCTTTTTTGAAAAAAATTGACATATACATTAGAAATATTTCTAACAGAAGTATAAAACTAAAATAATTCCCTCCACCTCCAGCGCTGGCCCCCTGAGAGCAACACTGTCCGGAGTGTCCATCCACAGCCTTTGAACGCAGATGTCAACACTTATTTTCACAAACAGATCTCACGAAACAATACAGCTCCACACCTGGTGGTGGTGGTCTTTAATTCAGACCCTGGAGGCCTTCACCTAAGGCCGTCAGGTAAGTCTTTGTTTTATAAATAAGAACCCTCCAGTCACCAGTGGGCGGAGCTCGCTGGGCCTGGCCTCTGTACGGCGGGGTTCAGTGGGTACTGCTAGAGGGCGGAACAGAAGCAGGGAAAGTGGGAAGATGCGAGGAATGAGGGAAGGAGGAAGGGTAAAAAAGAAAAGGAAGAAAGGAGGGAAAGAGAAAGGCGGAAAGGGGTAAAAAAGAGAAAAAAGGAGGAGAGCCAGCAAAGAGAGACTGCAAAGAGGAAAAGAGAGAGGGCAACGGACAAAAGGGAGATTCAGGAGGCCCCGCCCCGGACCCGCCCCCGGTCTGCAAGCTGCAGGGCCACCTCCAGCCGCCAGGGGTCGCCAAGCACAGCCGCCCTTACCCTGAGCTCGTGGCGGGCCCTCTCTCCCGCCCGTGCGCCGGCCGCTCGCCGCTCCGCTGTCGCTGTCCGGCTCCGACCCGACTCGCGCGCTGTCTTCTCGTGAGGGGCCTCGCGCCGCCGGGCGCGCGCCGTCCCCCTGCCTCGCGGCGCGGGGTCTCGCGGGCCCCGCTCCCGCCCTCCGCTCGCCTGGCCCGGACCGGAAGCGGCGTCGCACGGCCTGGGCCTGGCGCGGGGGGCGGGCTCCGGGGCCCGGTCGGACATGGGCAAGAAGCACAAGAAGCACAAGTCGGATAAACACCTCTACGAGGGTGAGGAGTGGGCTGCCGTGGGCGCGGCGACCCTGCGCGGTGGTCGTCCTCTCGAAATCGCTTAGGCTCGGGCGCTCGAGGGGGCCGCCGGTCCCACCGCAGGCCCCGACCCGTGGAGGGGGCGCGGCCCGACCGAAGCCGCGCAGACCCCCGGCGGACCCCCGGCGGGCGGCATTCGAACCCGGCCCCCTGCCGCGGCGGGCGTCAGGCGGGCAGCTGGAAGGTCGGCCCGAGAGGCCCGGGGGCGTTCGGGCGGGAGGCGCAGCCCCGGGTGGCCAGGGTCTGTCATTCAACAGGTGCTTCGGGTGCCCACGCGTGCGAGCTCCGCGGCCTGGCTGCGCCTTGGCGCCCCGCTGGACGGCCAGTGCCCCCTCTAACCGAGGCGCACTCCTTTTGTTTCAGAGTATGTAGAGAAGCCTTTGAAGCTGGTCCTAAAAGTGGGAGGGAACGAAGTCACCGAGCTCTCCACCGGCAGCTCGGGGCACGACTCCAGCCTCTTCGAAGACAAAAACGACCATGACAAACATAAGGACAGAAAGCGGAAAAAGAGGAAGAAAGGAGAAAAGCAGGTTCCCGGGGAAGAAAAGGGGAGAAAACGGAGAAGAGTTAAGGTAAACTGGTTGCATTGTTTCAGCTTTGCTGAAGGCTCGGCTGGCTCAGTTGTCCAGTGCCCACCCAGCTTCATCTCTGTGTCCAGTGTGACACTGAAGCCCCTGTAAAATCTGGCGTGTTTTGAGGTGGAGCGGGGCAGAGTAGAAAATTGAATCAGTGAGTTTCAACAGTGTTCACGCTTCAGATGTTTAAGTGGCTTTGGAGCAACTGCTTCCAAGAACACTTTTAAACATCTAAGAAGAGTAAAAAGTCACACTCAAGAAAGCCTCTGTGTTCTAGGTTTGTCGAAAGTAGTCCTTTCCAAAGTGAATGGAATCTAATTAACTGTCCTTCCAAGGATAAACAAGTATGTATCTGGAATTATCCCAGAATTCGGGTACTTCCCAAGTTTAACCTGCCACTGAGTGGCTTAGTAAAGTCAGTTACTCTATCTTGAAGGTAAATCTTTGCATAGGTTGATTTTGTACAACAAAAGTGTCTTATTGCGTGTGGTTAAACACTGGTAAGTCACCCAGTCTTAGAGATTTTCTCTTTGGAATTTCTTAAATCTATTAATTTCTGATCCAGTTTTTATTGACTTTAGCTATACTGTGTCAACATACAGTTTATCTAAAGTTTCCATTATCTTTTCTAAATTATAAAAATCATATGTACATATAATCTTCATACTTCGTAATACAGAAGTGACAAAATTTTAAATATCCTTTCTTCACCCTAGTGCCTTATATCATCTCCATTTCCAGAAGCAACCAGCTGTTTTTTAAATTAATTTTTATTAATAATTAAATTATTCATGAATGTAGTTTTAAAAAGTTAAGAGTATTCAAGGCTTTTAACAACAAGCAATCCTCTCTATTATATCTTACTGATGTTACAGAAGAATTTAAATTTGCATTCTTGTACTGCTCCACACCCCCAATCACCTACCTCCATTCTTACCATATTGGTGAATCACAAGTATTGGTTAAATAAATATTTGTAATTACTTTAAATTATTATTCTCTAGAGATAAGTACAGTGTACAAATACAGAGCTGATCTTGACTGACTAGTTAATTGCTTCATTGGTTTATCACTTATTAATGCTTCCCAAACTAATATCTTTGAAAAACCCATCTGTGTCATGTTTTTCAGATGAAAACTGGTTTAGTTACTCACTGGGGCTCCTTTTGCCTGTCTCCTAGAACCTATGTCTTCCTCTTTCTTCATTTTTCCCTTTTTCTGCTCTGGTAGAGTGTTGGTTTAGAAACTTTCTAAGAAAGCATGCATAGTTACATTTTTTATGAGTTCTTACATGTTTGAAAATCTTTACTCTTTCCCTGTAGATTCTTCATATGGGTTGAATGTTTAAATTGGTATGGAGTTTTAGATTGAAAATTACTTTCTCTCAGAATTTTAGAGGTTTTGCTCTATTTTCTTCTGGCTTCCCAGTTTTGCTGTTCAAAAGAGTGTTGATAGGGCTGGGGGTTAGCTTAGTGACAGTGCTCTTGCCTAGCATGTACAGGGCCCTGGGTTCAAGTTCTAGCAGCAGCAGCACCACAATCACCTCTGCAAAAAAAAAAAAGTCTGGTGCCATTTTGATTCTTAGTCCTTTGTGTATGACCTATATTTGCTTCTTTGGGACTTTTGGGATACTCCTCCTTTTGTCTTCAGTGTTTTAACTTTCACAGTGGCTATTTATGCCATCAGAGATGTTTCCTGGAAGGATCACAATTTCCTTCCTTTCATTTTCTCTCTCCTCTCTTTCTGGAACCCTTGTCATTTAGATATTGAACTCCTGAATCAGTCCTCTTAATTTTTTTATGTATCCCTCTCTTGGATTTCTATGTTCTTCAAGGAAAGCCTCTGAAGTTTATCTTCTTTTATTGTATTTTATTTCAAATCTTATGTTTTGAATTTCTAAGAAACTGTTGTCCTTTTTAAATAGCATCTTCTTTTTTATTTTATATGCAGTATATCTCTTTTCTCTGAAGATATTAAAGTATTTTTTTTTCCCTTTTTTCCCCTTTAGTTTTCTTTTGGTCCCATCATATTGTCTTTATCACCCAAGTTCTTCAGGCTATGTCTCTATTATGGTAAAACTGTCCTGTAATTATCTGTTTATATTTAAACCTATAGCATAGAAGAGCGAGCTGATAAATACTTTGTGCCTAGACACAGTTTATCAGTTGCTGGATTTCCCTATAGAGCGACCAAATAGGGATCTGATATTTTGATGGGGAAATCCCTCAGATGTTTACATCTTTTTTTTTTTTTTAAGTTGTAGTTGGACACAATGCCTTTATTTTATTTATTTTCATGTGGTGCTGAGGATCGAACCCAGCACCTCGCATGTGCTAAATGAGCGCTCTACCGCTGAGCCATAACCCCAGCCCCCAGATGTTTATATCTTACAGATATTTTCTTTGAGTTTCTCACTTTCTCCAGAGAAAAGTTCCCTCTTCCTGGGAGTACGATTTTACCTGACTGCTAGAATTTCTGAAAGCAACCAGGGGAAAGAGTGCCGAAGCTCTTACTACTCTTACTATTAAATTCTCTGCTTTCACTCAAGCATCTCTCCCAACTTTTGACTCATCTCAAGGTCTGGAGACTCTGATTCTTCATGTCTCCAAGTTCAGAGCTTTTCCAGGGTCCTAGGATCTTGGCTATTGTCATAGGCATCCAGCACTTTGCACATAGATAGTTTCTTGCTCTCTCTGTTCTGCACTCCTCCATTTGCCTTCCATCTCTCAAGTGAGTTGACACCTTTCATCTACTGTTGCCTCTTTTGTTCCCTGTTCTTGCTGTCATCTTGATTAAATAGAAGTTGCAGTGACCATTTTATCTATTTTTGGTTCTAGTTCTGGCAGCTACTGCCATAACACTATTAACTTGTTTTATCAACTTTCTCATTTTTATTAACTACATAATATTTAGTTTATGGGTGTGCTAGATGTTATTTTATTTAATACTACTATTTGTTGTAAGAAGTGCTGCATTGAGCCTCATTTAACAAACTTTTGTACACTTTTATAAGGATATCTTCAGGATAGGATCCTGGAATCTCCCCCTCTGTGTTCTAACCAGGCTGTCCTTTTTTTTTTTTAATATTTATTTTTTCGTTTTCGGTGGACACAACATCTTTATTTTATTTGTATGTGGTGCTGAGGATCGAACCCAGCGCACCGCGCATGCCAGGCGAGCACGCTACCGCTTGAGCCACATCCCCAGCCCCCAGGCTGCCCTTTCTTAACTGTGTGATTATCGTTAGCCACCTTATATTTTGATGCCATTGCAAACTAAGATGTATTTGCATCCACAGTTTCATCTGGCTGTAATAATGTAGAATAAGTAGGTGGACGAGGAGTGAAGCACATTTGCCCAAATTTCCACTTTTCCAGGACTCAAGACTAGGAACCACAGGACATTTTCAGATTCTGGGGTATTATAGTTTCTGTAGAAGCTTTTTGGGTCATCCCTTTTTTCTAGACCAGACTGGTCATGGGGAGAGTGGTATGTTTGGGGTTCTTTTTTGTTTTGTTTGCTGGTGTTACCTAGGGACGAAGTCTCCAGAAGAGGTTGGCTCTCTGAGCTGTGTTCTGGATCTTCAGGGAGCTTTAGGAGTCATTGGTTTCTTCTTGAAAACTCAGCTGTGTGACACCCATCATCAAAGCAGCCCATGAAGTGTGGTTCTGAGTAGTTGGTGACTCTTAGTTGCATGCAGTAGAATGGAAGAAGAGCACATAAAAAGAATAAATTACACCTTTTCTTTTTAAAATGTTTTTCTAAAAGGCATACATGACTTCTGCTTCTGTTTCATTAGGCAGAAGTTAATCACGTGGCCACTCTAGTTGATAGGGAATCCAGGAGATCTTGTCTTTCAATTGAAAAGAATGAGTGAGGGCACGGTACCCTGCCAGAAATTAGGAATCTGGGTGTAGCTGTTCATACCTGTAATCCCAGCTACTCAGTAGGCTAAAAGGAAGATCACAAATGAAGCCAGCCTCAGCAACTTAGCAAGACCCTGTCTCAAAATTAAAAAATAGAAACGGCTGGGTATGTAGCTCAGTGGTAAGCACTTGCTTGGCCTGTGTGAGGCCCTGGGTTCAATCCCCCAAACCTCAGGAAGAAAAATCAGAAATTTGGTACTTAGAAAAATAAGATAGTTTAGGGGACACACAGAAACACACAAATGTACAACACAAAACCCTCTAACTTTTCAAAGTTGTCTTAGTTAAGTGGTGATTTTCTTTTCATTAGGAAGGCTCTGTTGACAACATTAAAGTTTAAACTGCCTCAACAGATACGATCACTAGTATTTCTTTCTGTAGAGCTGCAGAATTTAATTCTGACCAGAGCATTAAGAGTACAGCATGCCTTGGTTTAATCAGTTCATAATCTAGATACCATTCCTATAGAAGTGGGTTGAATTATTTTTTCCTTATGTGTTTGGATGCTGAGTAATTGCCAAAAATTGTATAATTTAATTCTTGGTGGTGGTTTTTTTGTGGTACGAGGAATCAAGTCCAGGGCATTATTGAGCATGCTAAGCACATGTTCTACCAATTACACTACATCCCCTGCCCAGGATTAAGTCTTACAACATTACTAAAAATTAACATTTTTAGAAATTCATACTTAACATTTCAAGTCACATATTCTCATAAAAGGTAAAAATAAGTGGGTGGAATGGCACACACCTATAATCCCAGCGGCTCAGGAGGTGAAGACAGGAAGATAGTGAATTCAAAGCCAGCCTCAGCAGTATAGCAAGGCCCTAATGAACTCAGTGAGACCCTGTCTCTAAATAAAATACAAAATAGGGCTGGGGACGTGGCTCAGTGGTTGAGTACCCCTGAGTTCCATCCCTGGTATACCCCCCCAAAAAAAAGTAAAATAATCACTTGTGAATAAAAGGTGTTCATATCATTTGATTGAGTAATATATGCACAAGAGAATAGTTAAGTAAAACTAAGGTTCAATGTGTAAAATTTTGTGTAGGCTAGTATGTTGATAAAATG